GGCGTTTTATTTTCAAAATGTTCACTTTTGTGTCTGCTGGTGCTGCCAATCCTGGCATGAGCAAAAAGGACGGTGCTGGAGATACAGGGGGGTACACACCTCTGAAGGACATGGTATGATATCCTTTCTGGCACACTGATGTTTCAGTGTAATTTCATTCATTGTGTCATTGTATTGTCATTGAAATTGTGTTGCAAATCAAATTTCTCTGCCAGATTTATATCCACTGTGATGCAGCTGTGTGCCAGCCAAATCTTGGAAATAACTGTGAACCAAGATGTTTCAGGAAGAGTAAGCACAATTGTTTATTTTATTTATGGCACAACAATGGTAACATGCTGCAGTATTATATTTTTAATTGTATTTATATGATGTCTTTTTTTTTTACATTTAGCACTAACTGACTACTGCTGTGTTTTGTTCACAGAGAGAGAAATTGGTGGTTCTTACCAAGGACGATTCAGGCAGGAGACTGCTTTGGTTAGCAGTCAACTTATAACCTTTTCTCAGTAACAACACACACAGAACGTTCTTGTCCTGAATCTTTTGTTGCGGACAATAACAAGTTAAAAATAAATATTCAAGATGCTGAATATATTGTGTGATCTTATGATGTTTTTTTTTTCTTTTTTATTACATAGCTTTAAACTTGTGACTTTCACTGTCACTTACAGTATGTTAAGTATAAAATATTCAAACATTCAAACAATATAATAAATCTTATATTGTATTTGATCATTAACTGGTTGTTGTAAGTGCAATTTTATACCTTAGACTTATGTGGAATGAATTTTAATGTCACACCAAATCATATAAAAATCATATATTCGTACTATTCATACAAATATTAAAAGTTCATACACAACCACATTTTTATACACACTAACGGAGGATCATTTATAATTTACTTTTGGTTAGTAAAATAATAATTAATGACTGATATATAGATAAGAAATAGGTGAAATGTCTAGCAGTGGTCAGATTTTTTGGACTGTTTTAAGTTAACACTGATAAAAGCATTGGTATAATCAGTATATTTCTCATATCCCATGTCTGACAATAGAGAGTGCGCACCATTGTGTAATTGTAAGCCCAAACACTACTTTAAAACCTCGTGATGTTTGATTTTAACGCCTCTGTGGGTCCTTACGTCATTTCCTAGAAACTTAACGCGTACTGCTAAATGACGCATTTTTACATGACCAATGAAAGTGGCAGTTGAATGCGGAAGTCAACTGTGGTTGGATATTGAATATGTCAGTCAAGCTCAGCCCAAATCAACAGACGTTAGTATCTTACCAGGTTGTGGCGTTAAAGCGACGAGTATTAATCTGTGTTTTGATCGACTGCCCCCAATGCGTCTCCGTCCGCTTGCGTATGGTCGCCTCTTCCGGCTAAGTAACATAACCAGCGCCCTCTGTGATTCAGCGACTCAGTGTCGCCGTGCGAGACCAACATTTAGCAGCGGGTCTACTGTACTATTCTCCAGTAAATTTACCATGCATTCTAGTAAAAACGCAGCTAGTCACGTTGACGTATGCTCGAGCAGCACGAGGCAGCTCGGTACCGAGCTGCTTAGCAACATTCCCACGATCACAGCAGGAGACAACGGTTCACCCATAGAGAAGAGGCGGCTGGAAACTCCGAGCCCTCAGTTTGAGGCCAACTGTGATGATGACTCGGAAGCTGAATCTTTCGCTGATGGAAGAAGAGAGGAGGTGGACAGGGACACCCGGGACAGGGCGTTTGCCTGGTGCAAAGAATTTTTGTCCGGTTCATGGAAGAGTATCCAGGAGGAGGACTTCCAAATCAGTATTGTCAGGTCAATAACTAACTTTTAGTTTGTATACATCTTCATAAAAATAAAAAAATATTTAAAAAGCCAATACCAAGACCGTTGATGTTTAATGAAATAAAACTGTTATAAATATCCAATAGCTTTATTATATACTACTGGCACAAGAAAATAAACGATACAGATAAAAGTCCTGTGTAAAATAATAGTTTGTAGGTATTTTGACATGTCGTCTCAGTTGTGTCTGATTTGTTTACCACAGATTTTTTTTTGTTCTCTCACAGTGGTGGACTGAGTAATCTGTTGTATCTGTGTACTCTGCCGGAGCATGTACCTACCGTGGGAGTTGAACCTCGTCAGGTGCTCCTTAGGGTGTACGGTGCCATCTTGCAGGTTGGTTTTGTCTACGAAGAGATTTCGTAAGAAGGCTGGTAGAAATGATTTCTACGTGTCAGCATTTTATGAAAAATAGCTTTCATAGCTGCATAATTTGTTTCCCCTACTCTAAATATGTTTGGGGTTTTTTCCCCCTTTTTTCTTTCAAAACCTAGACTCTAAAAGACATTATCTGGCTTAAGCATTTCATTTTAATCTGATTAATCTAAACTATTCGTGCCTTTTACAGGGTGTGGACTCGCTTGTTTTGGAGAGTGTGATGTTTGCCATCCTGGCAGAGCGAACACTTGGGCCCAAACTTTATGGCATCTTTCCAGAGGGACGATTAGAACAATACCTACCGGTATGTACTGTGGATGTAAAAAAAACCAAACAAAAGAAACCCTGCCTTTTAACTGTTTAAGAGGAACTGCCTCTGCTGGAGGTAGTGTGATTTAAAGATATGGAACTTGTCATGGTTTGTTCCCAGTATGAACAGAATAGATATTGAGCAATGGTTGAGCAATAGAATTGGACTGGGAATTAGAGGACCAGGTTTGAATCTTGGTCTGTATATGTACTATGAAAATACATTACCATTACATTAATAATATTTACTGAAATATTAATTTTTTGCTCATGTACTATGAAAATACATTACCATTACTCTTAATTTTAGTTAATAATAATATTTACTGAAATATTATTTTTTTGCTGTCTTGCAATCATGGCACCATAGATTGAGTTAGCTGTCAGGCAACTAAAAAAGAGGAATAACCAAGGGGGATTGAATGATATTAAAAGTGGAGGAGATGAAAATAATCTAATGTGGATAAAGGTGCATGATGTTTAAAAACAGAAGTAAAATTATTTTTGTTTTGTCTCTGTTCTTTTTTTGTTTGTTTATTTTTTTTAGAATACTCGCATGCGTACAGAACAACTCTCAGATCCCGCAATTTCAGCAGAGCTGGCCACCAAGTTGGCTCGTTTCCATGAAATGCTAATGCCCTTCAACAAAGAGCCCAAGTGGCTTTTTGGGACCATTGACAGGTTATAGATTTTTCTGCACCATAATCTATTATATTTTATTATGTATTTGTCTCTCATCTGTATTTCATTTCCTTATTTTTTTGGTTCTTCAGATACATGGATCAGGTGATGAAACTGAACTTTGTCCGTGAAGCACATATGAAGAAGTACAAGAAGCTCATGAAGTTAAACCTGCCTGCCGAGCTGGAGAGCCTCCGGTAAGAAAGGACCAAGAACTGTGTTCTGGTTTGGTCTGATCCTAAATAGAAGTTCTCTGTCTTTCCTGCAGAATACAAGGCATTTCTAAACTATAATGACATGTGGACTCCAAAAGAGAGACAAAGGATGTGGTAGGTGGACGTGGGATATTGATGCCTAATCCCATAGTAACATTGCTGACGTTTAGAGATGTCTTGATGTCATGGCACCATATGGTTTGGCTACCTTGGAAACCTTGGCTGTCAATCAGACAAATGCCCAGTATTACTCAGCGCTCCACATTTTCTCTCTCTCTTTCTATCTGCATGTCAAACAAAACACTTATATATAATAACATCAGATCAAAAAACTTGGTCTTTCCAATATTTTTCTGTACCTTGGACCTTGGAACCAGAGGAGTTTGTCAATCTCAAATTTAAAGCTCTACTTCTCTAATATGTCCTTGAGTATCATACTTTACCGATGTTATGGTTTGGCACAAAATTTGATTTTTGTAATGGTTTTGTTCAGTTAATGACTGATTCAAGGGCGGCAGAAATAAGAGACAAGGAGAGAGAACCTACACATAACATTTCTATAACAAAACTGCAATTAATTTAATTTTGATTTTGATGACGATATTGGCTTCCCAAGATTATTGAATTAAAACTATTTTTCAGCTTGTCCATCTGTCTAATTATCAATAATTAATTAATAACATTTTTGTGGCTGTGTGTAGTTGTGCTGTAGCTGTAGCACATTCACTTGTACATAAGTAACAGTAATAACTTGGTGGAAGTCCCACATAGTTTTCTAACATTTTTGAGCAAGCGCTCAACACTTGCCACACAGTAATATTCATCTGACTGAATGACCCAGTACATGTTATCTCTGGTACCTGCTATCAAAATAGACACGTTGGACATGGACAGTTTCGTGACACATAGTAAATACTTATCTCACATGTTTATCAGCAACCCAGGCAGAGCCAGCAGTAGAAGTGTTATGACACTTACGCAATTTTGTACAGATTTACAGATTACATAATTGAATTCATGTAATGGTGCACATTTACTTTATTTATCTTTAAACTGTTTACTACACAATTTGAGTGATTGACACTTGGCACTGACTTTCTCTCTTCATCTTATTCTTATCTCCAGTGAACTGCTGGCAGCGACTCCATCACCAGTAGTGTTTTGTCACAATGACGTCCAGGAAGGTAAGAAAAAAAAAAAGAAAAAAAACTTGTGATGTTTTAGTAAATTATTATCCAGTTGTTCAGCTCTTCTGTTCTGTGAAGATGTACTGTCATAATTTCAGTAGTTGTACTTGACTTCAAACCAAAGGTCAAATTAGGCACCCTGCTGTTTTAAACTATTAATGCAGGGGTTCCCAAATAAATTCCATGCCAAGGTCCCCCAAACAGCATTCGATTCTGGCTGGGGACCCCCTTTGCAAATTTATGTGTTATATAATTTATACTTCATTAGTTACTTTTAACATTTTTATTCATTAACACACTGGTCAATTTGAATATTTTTTTTAGTGAATTAGTTCATGGTTAGTTTATGCATTTCTAAACCAAAGATGATGTAAACACAACAAAACAAATACTATTGTGTGAGTGAAGTGAACTTTGATCCTCAACAGGTAACATTCTAATACTGGACGGCAGGGACAGCTCCTCAGGAGACAGACTGATGCTGATAGACTTTGAATACAGCAGTTACAACTACAGGTAATGTTTGGAGTCTCGATCAACAGTATTTCACTGGATTAAAGCTTTGACTCTTTGTACATACGTGTTTTTTAGGGGTTTTGACTTTGGGAACCATTTCTGTGAGTGGATGTATGATTACACCTACGACCAGTGGCCTTTCTATAAATCCACACAGGAAAACTATCCAACCAGAGAACAACAGGTGAGTGTGTGTGGGGGGGGGGAGGGGGGGGTTGTTTTCAAAAAGTAAACAGTGTGACGGCCATTTTTGTGAATATAAATATATTTCTATAAATATATATACCTACCTATCTGAACTAAAATGCTTACTTTACTTTCTTAGTTATTTAAGAAAATAAAGTTAACAGTTATTTTCTGACTACCACAGTAAAAGGTTAGGCCGAAGTCACACTACAGTAACACAATTTATTATATTACAGCACTGACGCCAGACGTCGCCGACTGGTCTGTTGTGGCTACACTGTTTGTAGGCACAACAACAGTTTGGTAATAATAAATAATAATAGTAGTAGTAATAACTACTATTACATTAGTAGTTTTCTTTATTAATTTGGCATAAAAAATAACAGTTGTTATGTAGATTGATATTTATCATGAGGCAAAGAAGATGTCAGTGTTTGCAGCTCAGATTGCCATCAAGTGACAGAGGGATTAGTTGAAGGGTCCATGTCAACATGCTGATGACACCGGGAGCTACAGCAAGAGCTCTCTTTGCAGTTAAACACATGAAACTAAAGTCTAACCATTGTAACACTACTTCTGTGGGTCTGCTTAGTAGTCTCTGCAGTAATGTGAGATGTGTCTTCATTTTTTTTTCTTTTCTTTAAGCTTATATTCATCCGAAATTATCTGGCAGAGCAAAGAAAAAGCTCTGATATTTCAGGGGACCAAACACAGATTGAAGAGGACATGCTGATCGAAGCAAACAGGTAATCTTTTAGGAAATTGATGAGGCAGAGTGCAAAATATAAAGTAAATGGGAGCAGGAGACTAAGGGGATGTATGTACTATATATTATATATAACATTATATAGTAATTATATGCCTTACTGTTGTTTATTGCAGAGGTAATCATCAAGACTTGGTGTTAATTATTAATTATTGACTGTTGACTGATGTTGTCAATTGCTCGACTTCTAATTGTTTGTCTGGCTGACAGGTATGCGTTAGCGTCACACTTTCTCTGGGGGCTGTGGTCCATCATTCAAGCCAGGATATCTACTATTGAGTTTGGATACATGGTAAGGATTTTTCTCTTTAAGTAGCTGATTTAAACTTATGTAATAGTAGAAAATTTAGATTTTTAGATTATTTAGACTGTGTTTAGATAATACAATCAGATTGTTGTGTGTGGTTGTGTTCTTCAAGCATTTTTTTTGTGTGTGACTTCACCCTTGCATATGTTAGCAGTTGTTTGTGTTTTCTTACCCTCTGCACTTATTAAGAAAGAGTTTGCTCTTGGACTTTTTATTTCCAGAAGGGGGGGTTGGAGGGGGTTGTTATTCCTTAGGTCAATACAAAAATGCAACTGCAGATATTTTGTTAGCAAGACCTGCCTGAATACCATATTTTCTGTATGTATTCTGTCTGATTTTGTTTTGAACATCCTTGTGTTTCCAGGACTATGCCCAGTGTCGGTTTGATGCATATTTCAAGCAAAAGAAGCTATGCTCCTGATTTCCAAAGTAGGAACATGTGCTTGTTTTATCAGTCATGCATTTTTGTGTGTCTCTATCCTATGCGTCTATGCTCTTGACAAGTAATGGTTTTTGAATGTTAAAGGTTTACATTTAAAGACACATTTTAGTGAAGTCTGTGCCTATGCCCCTAGGGTAAAGTTTTAAAGCAACTGAGGCTTGTTCAGTCATTTATGAAAGCTCATAAGGTGATTTAATGCGTTTTAATTTTATTTGGTTAAAACCACTCTTCATGTGCACATTAGGTTGTTTAGATTTACCACATGGACCATTCATTTGATACTCTGTAGTGGCTAATTATGGATGTTTCAGATACTACTGTAATCAGCGGGATAGTGTTGTCTTTTTACAAGACTGTCACTGTAAGAATACTTTTGGTTTGTGTACTTTATTTCTCTAAGCCTCTGGAATTTAAAAGCAGACAACTTGGTGGATTAGGTTTATTTAATCATTTCAGTTCTGGTAGATCAATACTGATCCAGAGTGTTGGATCAAGCCACCCCTTGTAGAAACACATCTGTTATTACCCTTTATCATGGCCACGCCCTCTCAAGGGGTTAATAAATGTTGGTGTTGGAACATCTTAGGCCAGGCGTGGGCAAACTTTTTGACTCCTGGGCCACAATTGTCCTAAAATTGAACAAATGACTGGGTCAGGAGCAGATAGATGGAGCGTTCGTGTGAACTAATATAAATTACATGTAAAGGTCATGCATAAAGGCTAAAATGCTTTTTTTTAAAAATGTCTACGCCATCTATTGGGGGAACTGGGGTATTTCAGGGTTTCAGGTTAAACAAATATGGTCTTTAATAGTCAAGGAATCCAGTTGTCTACTTCTAAATTTTCAAGGATGGCGATGATCTGGAAGACTGAAAAACACATTTCTAATGTTGTTTAGGTCATTCTACCTCCTCTCTCTTTATCAACAATCATTCTGTTTCCGTAAGAGCTGATTCTGAAGTTAACTTCTGAGGGACTAAGCAAACTTTTTTTTCATTTCTAAGTTTAACAGGTGTTAAACAAGACTGTGATTAAACCAGTGTTGGTCAAAACATTTCATGAGGCCTAATTGCGTTATGAGGCATTTTCACACACTTCTGATTTCCGTCCTACCTTTTTGACGTACAACCTTTTTCAAATGTCAGACTTGCATCTTGAGTTTCTTTCTCAATTATGTCTTTTTGTTGTTTTTTTTTTTTTGTTTTGTTTGTTTTTTCATATTCTTTCTTTAAAAACGTGATAAGGTGCAATGTCTTTTAGGAATATGCTGAAACAGCACTGTCTCATAGAGTGTACCAATCACACCACACAAAAAAGTTTCTGTCATTTAACTGTAAACCCTTCTGCATCACCAGTCCTGTGTGTTACTCTTTAATGCACTGGTGCTTTTCTCATTAGCTGTATCTCTCTGCACATGGGAAGAGCCTGAACTGTTTCTCTCCAAATGTCTGTTATGTTGGTCCTGTTTGCACTATTAAAATCTCATCTAAAGGTAATAGACTTGCATACACTGGGGTGTTTTTTTTTCTGTGTTCTTGCCTTCATACTCTTGATACTGTATGAAACGCGACCCTTTTCACATATTACTGCCATGTAACTTGAGCGTCCTATACTGACCCTGTCCAGCCCCGTGTTTACTAAAAATAAACTAGCAGAGAGAGGTATGCCATTCAAAGAACCAGCGGTACTTTACACAGTTCTATCAAAGGATACGATCCTTTGATGGACAGTATCCTTATATAAGACCATCTTTGTGTTGTGGTCTTAAACATTATCAGTGCCAGTCTGTGGATTCACATGAATCCATGGAGACATTTTCTTCAAAAGACAAGGCTACAGAGAGATTGGATTGTTTGGCGGTCTGGATTTGGCCCACAGAAAATAAAATGTACCTTGATTTTCAATGTAGGGCCAGGTACTATTACAGTGTGGAGATTTCCCAAACTGTGGCCTCTGGCCTCATACTGTCATGATGCTGGCTGTCTGACCCTCCTGTTGTGAGAATCTTTAAACAAAGCCCTGATGCCTTCATTTGATAAATTAGCAAAATGTCCACATTTGCCATACATTTATTTTCAACAATGTATGTGATTTTTAATCATATCTATATTTTTATGTGAATTGTCTTGTTGCTCCAGTTATCTGTACATCTCAGCTCAGCACGGTCAGCTCACATCACATGATGTTATCCTGTCTGTGTATGGTGTCTTGTTACAAAGAGAGGAATGAGAGAGTGAGTGAGAGAGAGAGAGAGAGAGAGAGAGAGAGAGAGAGCACAGGAAATAAACACTCTGGCTTCACTACCTGGGAAAAGCCATTTCAAGGGCACTGGAGTCACACACACGCAGCACCTCAGTGCAAAGGAATTACACTGCTCCACTGGCACAATCCAAAGGCACAGCTTGTCTTTTACAAAGTGGTTAACAGTGAGTCACGTTCCACGGTAAACTAGAGACCGGCTTCCTTCATCACTTTTATCTTTGTTTTTAGTCATGCAAGTAATATGTCATTAATATAGAATCATTGGCATGAATGTTACACTTGCTGAGTTACTTGTCTTTCCCACCACACAACAGTCTAAGGACAAATGTTTCAATGTTATAGTGATTGTGTTTAATTCATTACGAGACAACAATCGTGGAAAAGTTGAAGCGCACTGTACGAAAATGTCATTTGGCTTTAAAAACATTGGTATGCATGGCTGCTATCCTGTGTTTATAGTTAGCTTATAATTAACTGAACAGATTCTAACAGGATTTTTTTTGAGAGAGCAAAGCGTTAAACATTCATCGGTGTGTTGTACTCCGTGTTATTATTTTCATACTCTAGTCTGCGCACATGCTCAGCTGCACACTGCTATATCTGGCCAATGAACTTTGTCCCACTTGGTGACTTTTCAGTCTGATGACATGGAAAAAGAAATCCTACACTGTCACACTGGCCATTTTCCCAAAAGGGTTTCTGTTATAATTGTAAATATGTCTTTATATTAAATACATAATATAATATGTATGTATAGAAATATATCTCTCTATATAGAAATATATCTGTATAGATAAATATATCTCTATGTGTGTGTGCATAATTAATTATTAAGTGCTTAATAATTTAATAATTTAAATTATTTAACTTAATAATTAATTAATTAAGTGCTTCACACTTCACACTCAGACTAGTCGAATAATTCAAGGGTTCGTTTAGAAATTTGGGTGCTGATATGACGCAACCGGACATTTGACCGGAAGTTAAAGCCTCCACAAACAGAAGTTGGGCTACAACATGATGTTTAATGCTGTAGTCGCGTCGTGAAATTTTCACAAATTAATTAATGAGACTATATATATATATATATATATATATATATATATCAAATATATTTTCCCCTTATTAACTAGTCGTTGTGTTACTGCAACTGTAACTGTGTTACTGTGTTACTCGGTCAGTCATATCGCAGCCTATTCTTCTTTTACTTGCCAGGTTAGTAATACACAGAGATGGCAGAGGCGCACCAGGCGGTGGGATTCCAGTTCACCGTGCGCCCTGATGGTGTCGACGTCACACTTAGCCAAGAGGTCATCAAAAACATCTATTTGTCTGGAGTTACAGCATGGAAAAAGAGGGCTATACTGTTCAAGGTGAATCTAGATACCAGCTCGGAATGTCTAAGTACTGTATGGTTGTAGTTTAGTTTTTACTCTCTATTTGTTTTTAAAATGATTTTAGTCTGCACAGAGTGCTCTGGTGTTAACACAAGTCTGGTTTCCACAGAATGGTGTGTTGGCAGGAGTCTATCCAGCCAGTCCATCCAGCTGGCTCATAGTTGTAATTGTGATGATGAGTTCTTTGTACGTTCATGTTGATCCTTCCTTCGGAATGATAGATGCCATCAAGGACAACCTGCCTCAGAGGTCAGAAATCATCTACAATACATACAGTATTTAGGTCAATATTATATTAGCATAATTATGTTGTATATGTAAGTATCATTATTGTTTTTTACCTCCGATAATAAAAACCCAATAACACAGTTTCACCAAATGATGTGTGCCTCAAAAATATTTTTTGGGGAAATATGGCTGTATGTGAAGTAGAAAGCCACTAGATGGCAGCATTATCGCTCATTTTATTATTAATATGGGACATCCCTATTGTATAGCATTGACATGTCACTGACGTAATAAAAAACCAGAAGAATTTGCCATAACCAGGGCAGTGTTGTGCCTTTTCTGAGCAGAGACTGTATGTCAGTGCAGAGCCGGGCGGTGCTGAGTTCCATCCTCTTCGCCACTGGACTGTGGCTCTTCCTCATCTATCTTCTGAGATACACCCTCAAAGCCCTGCTGTCGTACCATGGCTGGATTTTTGAGTCTCATGGAAAAATGAGCACATCGACAAAGCTTTGGCTGGTATGATTTTTTCCACAGCTTTCCACCGTAAATTTCAAAAACATATCAACATTTTTTTACCAGCACCATGTCAGAATTTGAATCCTGAAGTTTACTGATGCTACCTGAACCTGGACTGCTGTTAAAGCTGTTGCGGCCGCCAGTCACACGATGTGCAATGGTGTGCGATATCTGTTTGAATCAATTATTAATGCATGATAATTAATGACTCATAAAATGTAGATCATGTCCTGTTTAAAAAAAAACTAAAACTAATATGAAACAACAGCTGAAAGAATAATTGTGAAATTTCTACGATCCTGTCTGCATGTTTCTAGAGCCTAGTAAGGATGTTCTCAGGAAGACGACCCCTGCTCTACAGTTTTCAAGCCTCGCTACCCAGACTTCCTGTGCCCAGCGTGGACGATACTATTCACAGGGTGTGTACCTGCACGTACTGTAGTTACATTCACTCATAATATCGACAATAAGTAAAAACTAGCTCTGATATTTGTTTTAGATTTATGTCAATGGGTTACATTACATTGACACTGCAAACTGTGACAAATCTCTGCCACAACATTATTTTGGTTTGCTACAACAGTGGTTATCAAACTGGGGGGCGGGGCACTCTATTATGATTAAAGTTAAGGAAAAAAAAATTCACTGCCGTAATCATCGGACTGGTTTATGAGCGAACTTAAATGGTAAACAAATGTAATAATTATTTAATAGGAAATAACAATGAGAAAATACATTCTAGAAGCTGATGTTTCTAGACATATTTTATACCATTGTCTTTGGGTTTGGGGGCCCTTGGCATGGAACAGTTTGGGCTAACCTATGGGCTAGTAAACTATGGTCACCTTTGTTCAACAAATTGCACTATAAAAGTACTTGACCGCATTAGCTGCTAATCCAAGCATAAGTGATTTTAAGATACTCTTCATTTTTATTTTTTTTTTATATATCTTAATTGTAGTTTTCACCTCTGACAGTATATGTTTGGCATTTAAAATAACAACTGCACATGTTCATGATTGTATTTTGTACTTGTCAGTACCTTGAGTCAGTTCACCCTCTTCTGGACGGTGATCAGTACCAGCAAATGGCAATTTTGGCAAAGGACTTCAAAAATTCCAAAGCCGCCCAGCTGCAGAGATATTTAATCCTGAAATCCTGGTGGGCTACAAATTACGTGAGTAGTTTTCACAGAAGACATTTATCACTGGGAGAGAATTTAGTTCAATTGTGATGTAAAACGATGATGTACGTATCACTGTTGTAGGTGAGCGACTGGTGGGAGGAGTTCATTTACCTCAGAGGCAGGGGTCCCATCATGGTGAACAGTAACTTCTATATAATGGTACGGTAACTATTGTATTAATAAATGCATTACTTACTTATTACTAATATATTCTGACGTAATATGTCTGTTTTTTACGGACGTGAAGGACCTGTTGTACGTGACACCAACACATCGCCAGGCCGCACGTGTGGGGAATGTGGTCCACGCCATGCTGCAGTACAGGCGCAAACTTGAACGTGGTGAACATGCACCGGTAATTCTTGCTGTGTGTATATATATATATATATATATATATACAAATATTATTATTATTGATAGATAGATATATAGATTGTTTGTATAATGTTATGTTTAAATTTATTTTTTTTTACACTATATGTCATTGTACTTCTTTGCAGCTCAGGGCCTTGGGGACTGTCCCTATGTGCTCCAGTCAGATGGAGAGAATGTTTAATACCACTCGCATTCCCGGCATTGAAACAGGCAGGGAAAGATTTGATCCTTAGCTCAGCTGTCCTAGACAATGGCTACAGATACGGTTCATAGCACTGGTAAAACATAGGGAAGGTACACTGAACAAAAAACTGCCAAATTATAATGTAGACAAGTTATAAAAAATGCAATTTCTACATTATATCATTACATCATTAGAACATCTTCTACACAGCCAACTGTCAAAACGAGAGATGGACGGATGGATGGATGGATGGATGGATGGATGGATAGATTATTATGGTTTAATTTTAAATCTTGTTCTTCTCCTCATGGGTTGTCACCTCTAAAGATATTGTGCAGCACCTGAGTGACCGTAAGCATGTGGTTGTCTACCACAAGGGTCGCTTCTTCCAACTGTGGCTGTACACTGGGGGGCGCCATCTTTTACCCAGTGAAATTGAGACACAGATTCAAAGGATTCTCAATGACAAGTCTGAACCGCAGCCTGGAGAACTCAAGTTGGCTGCTTTGACAGCAGGAAACAGGTACACAAGGGTTAAGTACTCCACGAGTTCGACACGTGTACTTCCATTAACGGCTCCACTGTCATTCCAGAGTTCCATGGGCCCAAGCGAGGATTAAATACTTCAGCCAAGGTGTAAACAAGGTGTCCTTGGATGCCATTGAGTCAGCTGCCTTCTTCCTGACGCTGGATGACGAACCGCAGGGTTATGATGCCGCAAAGACCAATTCCCTGGATGGTTACGCCAAGTCCCTGCTGCATGGACAATGTTACGACAGGTAGGACAGGCTGCCAAGAGAGGGTCTCGCTTCGCTTACTTTGAGCATCTGATTCCCTAATGTAATATATTATTTTTTCCTGTTTGTGAAGGTGGTTCGACAAATCTTTCACTTTGATTTCTTATCCAAATGGAAAAATAGGAATAAATGCTGAACACTCATGGGCCGATGCACCTATCGTAGGACATATGTGGGAGGTAATGACATGTGTATGGTTTCATGTGTCAGATGTCATTTTATCGTGATCAGCTGCTCACTGTTTCTGTGTGTGTAGTATGTGCTTGCAACAGACTGCTTTCATCTTGGCTACACCGAGGAAGGACACTGTAAAGGAGATGCCAGCAGAAGCCTCCCTCCTCCCACCCGACTGCACTGGAAAATTCCAAAAGAGGTTTAATAGTTATTTGAAATTGGTTTTGAATTATATATTTTCTGGACTGTAAGTCGCACCTTTTTTCATCCTTTGGCTGGATAAAATATATAATTTCACACGTTTGCTATTTTTTACACTTACAGCCGCTAGAGGGCACTCCAGGCATGTGTACCAGTATCTGCGACTCCTGTACCACTGAAAATGTACATGTTCTTCATTTTCACGCTGACAGCCACTAGAGGGCACTGATGCTTATACTCCGGAGCGACTTATAGTCTAGAAAATACAGTATGTATTGTGATGAAAACCACTGTATAGAGAATTCTATCACCAAGGTGTACTTTGTTTTCATTAGTGCCAAGAAGTTGTGGAGAGGTCATATCTGTCAGCTAAGCAGATAGCTGATGATGTGGACTTCCATGGTTACCTCTTCCGTGAGTTTGGGAAAGGCCTGATCAAGAAGTGCAGGACCAGCCCAGACGCCTTCATCCAGATAGCCCTGCAGTTGGCACAGTTCAGAGTAAGACAGGCGCCATGTCTCACTGCAAACCCCTTTCAACGAACATCGGTGTCGTGCACTGACGACTCATGTGACATCATTTGCCTTACAGGATCAGGGAGTGTTTTGTCTGACGTATGAGTCATCGATGACTCGTATGTTCAGAGACGGTCGGACGGAGACCGTACGTTCCTGCACCACTGAGGCTGTTGAGTTTGTCAGAGCTATGGAAGACACAGCTGCAACAGTAGGCAGGACACTCAAACACACTAGATTTTATTATTTACTACCGTACTTTCCGGACTACACACTTTTTTCACACTTTGGCTGGGTTTGCGACTTACACTCAGGTGTGTTTATATCACACCTGATTTAGATTAAGCTTGTATGGTATTTGTTATGGTTAAGGTCAGGGTTAGGGGTCAGGGCAGTTTTTGTCAACAACTGGGTCACAACCCCATGTGGGGTTCTCTGGGATTCTAGAGGGGTCGCCTGAAATGTCTGGTAATTGTCAAAACAATTACTGATAAAAAAAGTTTCTAAACTAGTTATTATTCTTTTTAAAATGCTGATTAAAAGCACCCCAAACAATCGTAAACAACCGCATTCTTTCACCTTAATTCAACACAGTAAAACAAACTGATGAAAAACGAATTCTAGAAAAACAAAAGTCTCTGTGGTTGCCAGACATTTCTGATGCCAAAAAAAGGGGGCTTAAAAACATGTAAATGAATTTGACATAATTGATGTATGTGTGACTCTCAGGTCAGATAATAAGGTCACGTGGTGCTTCACAGGTTGTGGTCACCTTCACATAATGTGTGTTTGCACAGGTCTTTAACCTGAACTTTAAACTTTAAAGTCATGTTCTTGTGTAATTTGATCAAAAACAGAAACTGGGTCAGTTTTATTTGATGTTTTTTTTTGTTGCCATTTTTCTCCACACTCAGAATACCCAGAGACTGGTCCTGTTTCGAAAGGCAGCAGACAAACATCAAAACATGTATCGTCTGGCCATGACTGGTTCTGGTATCGACCGCCACCTCTTTTGTCTCTACATAGTATCCAAATACATTGGTGTTGACTCACCATTCCTAAAAAAGGTGACACTTTTTTACTGATTTCTGACTTGGATATTTTCAATTATATGTAGGTTGTGAGTCTCATTTTACATCTAAGAAAAAAAACAGCATTAGCAAAGAACTTTGTGGTTCTTAGTGGCCATTAATTCTTAGCGATTAGTAAAGTATGTGCTGTAAAATTCCAAAAAGTGAATATTTGTTTTCTGATGACCATTTTTCAACCCTTTTCTTACTCCCAGGTGTTGTCAGAGCCGTGGAAGTTGTCAACCAGTCAAACTCCGCAGCAGCAGCTTAATTTAGTTGACATGAACAAATTTCCGAAGTACGTTGGTGCAGGTGGTGGATTTGGACCAGTGAGTTAAAACGTTTTAATTTCTAAATGCTTTATATTGAAATAGCTGAATGTTAGATGATGAAACAAAAACACCTCTTCTGCTTTTTCAGGTGGCTGATGATGGTTATGGCGTATCTTATATCATCGTTGGAGAAAACCTCATCACATTCCATATTTCCAGCAAGTTCTCATGTCCTGACACGGTAAGAGCAGAACCTTCGCTTGTTTTCCGTGTGGCCATGTTTTTATAGTGGGGCAGGCCCCCTTGAGGAGGGGCCTAGTGAGGTGCTGCAGGGGGGCGTGAGGGGCTTCAAATGGAATATGGCTTGAATGATAACCAGCCTCCAGTCACTAGGTGGCAGCAACTCATAGTGGTTTGTACAGATAAAATATACGTACATCTTAAGTAACGTCTACGGTATAGTTACTGTAAGCTTCCACAGTTCAACCTCGCTGTGATGATTTCCTGTCTGTGTGATCTGCAGGACTCATACCGGTTTGGACAATACATACACAGGGCCATGATGGACATACAGAGACTTTTCATGCCAGAAAATGACAGGATGGTGAACACTGGAAAACCTGTACCAATGGAAAATGGGAAGAAACAGCTTTGAGTCCTTTTTAAATTCTACTGACTGATTTGCTTGACATTCAGCTGTTTATGCACTTTATCTGTTTTATCAATGTATAAGTTAAAATTAGAAATTTAGCATTTATTGCTAAACTTATTGTAAACATTTGGGTTTGTAGATGTATATTATATTTAAGGATGCTCATTAAACCAAATACTATGACCAGCAGTAGGCATAGTAGTACTTTACTTTTTCATTATGACTAATTAAACACCAATGAGATCAAACTGCTATTACACTATATTTTTACTTCACACATATATATACACACATATATACTGTATATACACACATATATACTGTATATACAGACTTCAACTGTGGCAATGTGAAATGGAATGAAAGTCTTTTGTCTGTTGAACAAACATTTTAGGTATTTATTAGTCCATGATAAATTTGTTTTCTATTACATAATCCATTTCAGGGTCTAGGAAGACGGGTGGAGAGGCTAGAGCTAATTGTAGCTGCCATCGGCTCCCTCAGGACAGTTACCATAAAGATAACTAAGCATTCACACTAACATTGGCACCAACTTAACATGTCCAGTGGCCTGTTTTGTTGTACACAACCCTGAAACACCTGCAGTATATTGAGGAAAGACACTTGGAAGATCTTCCATCTGCTGGGAGTCTATTTCATGTTTTGATATCCATCTGCTGCCATCTAGTGGACACATTTAATATTCAGCATGTAACATTACTTACAGTAAATAAATAATAGTTTTCTATGGTACACCTGATGATCTCTTACAGCACACTGTGCCTCAGCACACAGCAGCAACAACACTGTGACTGATTAGAATCAATGGCTTGTTATAAAACATTCACGTGATTATTCACATACCTGCAGCTCCAACAAAAGCATCTTCTTTTTTAGTATTTATTGGTTTATGTAGGGACAGTACAAAAAAGTTAAAGTAATAGTAAAAAAAGAATCTCATCAGACCCCTTCAAGGCATTAGTTACAGGAATGAACTTAAACCAGGTTTTGAAGACTGTACAAAAAAAGAAATGGACAACTGAAAACACCACAACAAATGGATGTCGCTGGATGAGTACATCTTTTAAGAGGCTACGCACTTCAGACTTCGGAAGATTCACAATCGACATCAGATTTTTGTCTATAATGCTTTTAACCATATTCTGTCACAGGTTTAACAGAACACAAGGAAGACAAAAAGGCATAAGGATTATTTATGATCATTTTCTTTGTTGTTTTTTTTTATAGTGGGGATACATGAGTTTGAGTCCACTGGGTGGCGACATGCTCCCTGAGCCACCGTGTGCTGCGCTTTATCACGTAGAGACACACCAGCCCAGTCTTTTCTGTGTACATGACTATTGTGTGCATTTATTTGATCAATCTAGGATGGTTTTGTTGTTTATCTGTCTAAGAATCACGCAGCGCTTCCAGACACCCGTCTGTTTCAGTAAAGGTGGACTAAGACGTTGCGCCGGGCGTCGGGTTGACGTTCTGTGTAGCAGCTTGTGGCGCCACCTCTATGATCCGAGGCTTATCGATGATGCGAGCGGTGCGGTTTCCTTTTTCTACAATTCCAATGATCCATGCTTGGTGGCCCTCTCCGTATTTCGGAGATTTGATCTCTGCACAGAAGCGGGCAGCCTGCTCTCGGGGCAGACAGATGAGCAAGCCCCCTGAGAAGAAAAAGAGGAAAATAATATTTGGTCAGTGCAATACATCTTAAATGTAATTTTAATACTTAATATTCTCAGAAAATAATCGGGAACCACTGGTTTAACTTCTTGCTTGATTTGTATGCAGAGTTGTGTGTTTTTTGTAATTATTGAGAAAATATTATTTGTCATCTTATAACTCATGTAAAACATGCTCTAGTGAGACACTATACAGCAGGGGTCACCCTGGATGCTTTGGCAGGCTGGATTCAACCCACAAGCCACCAGTTGGTGATCACTGCTGTACAGTGTGAAACCCCAGTAACAGGGCGGTGGCACCATGAGACAATGATCCCCTAACACAAACCTGATGTTTCAGGGCAGGTGCCGTGCATGAGGCCAAACATATTCCCACAGGCCTTGGACACGGCGGCCATTTTTGCGAGGACCGGGAGATTGTGGATGACAAACGATACTTCACTTCGCTGTTGCCGTGCCAATGTCTGAGCGTGGCCAAGGATGCCAAACCCTGTGATGTCAGTGGCTGCGTGCGCATTGAAGGTGTGCATGAGTCCAGCGGCTGCGGAGAGTTGAATATGCGAGAAGGTGACACAACTGTTGTGATTTCACTGTTGGCATTACAACAACTATACAACAATATAACGTACAATCTTGCACCAAGTTTTTTTGACATGTCAGTGAAATGCCAATATTAGATATTAGCCATATTTTAAACTTCTTTAAATATGCCCGTGTTATCTAACGTTTCAACAAATTGCTAATAACATTATAAACATAAAATGATGATTAAAAATACAGATTTGTTTGACAATTGAGTAGAAAGATGTTCTTCCACCGTTGTTGTTGCTGTACAATCAGTGTTTATTTGTCTTTAGGTTCAATGTTTTGAACTTTTTAACTTATTCAATTATTTGCTTCCCGCTGAAGAATGGTTAGCATAAAATGTAACAACAAAACAAAGCTTCAGAACCTTATTCTGCTGTTTGTAATGCTCAGCTCAGCAGCTGATTGGCTCATGCTTAACTTGACATTTACGTGTTATTGATAACCGATGACAATAACAGGTAGTTCTTGACTGAAACAAAAAACTGAAACAAACCTGTTCTGTTAAGTCGAGCCATGTTCATCATGGCTTCGTGGTAGGCCAGTTCCACGTCCTCCTGGGTTACCACCAACTTTATTTTGTTCCACTTGTCAGGCTGAGAATTGAAACAAACAATCAGGAAGTTGGGAGTTTTTCTTTAGAAGACTCTAGTGCCATTCAGTGACGGTCAAACAGACTTACAATATCTAACCACTGGTGAACTGCAACAGCCACTTGTGTCCCTAGGGGCTTGGTCAACACCAAGACATCTCCAGGAACTGCATTGTCTGGCCTGTAAAAAGGGCATTTGCCATTATTTTGTTGCGTCATAGACACATCTGTCTGAGACAGAGGGTGGCTGGAACAGTTTCAGTATTCCTACATGATGAATTCGTTTGGCTGGCACACTGTCGTAGCAACTCCTCCCATCACAACCCAAGGGTTCAGCACAGTCTGTCCTCCTGTTACAGACGTACCCGCTTCCTCTGCTGCGTCTTTGAAGCCCTGTATGATCAGCGTCATGACTGTGTCTCTCTCCTGTTAAGTCCAAAAAAAAAAAGTCAAGTCATCACAATGAAAGACTTGTTTCGAGTAACAACAAAATGTGTTTCTGTAAACCCAAACAAAAGTACAAACAGAGAAGACACCAATCACATCGTCTGGTTCGTCATGTCTCCACACTCACACACACCGGACACTTAATTATGACAGGACTCCTTTACCTTCTCGGACATTTTGTTGCTGACTCCCAACAGCATCAGCATGTTGTCGCACTCCGTCACTCCCATAGCGTACAGGTCACTTAGAACATTGGCACATGCAATTCTTCCCTACAACATAGCAATAATAATAAAATAAGCACCTGAAAGATCATGGGAAATACCATCCCAAATTAGGGATGGCTCCATCAAATACACAGGAATAGGTTTTGGTCCAATAATGGTCAAAATTTCAGGATTGAACATAAAAAAATCCCCAAAAACTTCAAATAACTGAGCTAAACTTAACTTTGCGCAACACTGCTGTAAACAGGGACACTATCGCCCTAGCAACAGCAGCCTGTAGCATGATGAAGGAGAATAGAAGGCTTTAGATTGATATCAGTATTAGCAGGTACTCCAAGTTGCAGCGGCATCGGTATAGGACATGAAAAAAAATATTCATCAGAATTCCTGTAGAACAGTCAAAACACTGCTATGACCACAGCATTCAAGCAACATGCTCAGAAAATGTCTTAGTCTAATTTTTTTTTAATTTAGAGCCTTAAAGCCACGTAGATGTATTTGTTGATAAATTAGTTGATGATGCAACTCAAGTGAAATTACTCAGTCAGAAATGTGTGCTAAAAGGCTTGGCTGCACGTGTAAAACACATCTGACAAAATGTACACCATTCTGATCCACATGGACTGCAGCAGAGACCTAGGCAAGACAAACATGACCCAGGCCTTAATCTGCTGCATAGAAAATGGCATTAATTGTTACTGTTTATGAATTATTGAATATTGAATACAAGAGCATCCCTACTTGTGACAACTTTCACGGACTCATCATTTGTCAGAAAATCAGTGAGTCAAAACAAAACATAAAACATCCATACCATCATGTAGGGGTCATCTACAATGGGGTAGATGTAATCTGTAGTCTGTACTAGAGAAAGGCCTCCATGTCTGAGTGGTATAACACAGGTGTCCATACCTATGCCTGCAAAATAAAAGCAATTGGTTTTTCTTTTTGTTTTGTTTTTCTAAATGTAGACAAATAACGAAATTGGACTTCTGTCAAATTTGACATTGAAGTTAAATTTTGACTTCATTTGACCACTCGGTGAAAAATCCCATCAATGATATGTATATAGAAAGAGTTGTTGGGAACACGGAGTACAGCCCACCCAACTATGCAGCAACACGTGACAGTGTTAAAAAAAAAGAAAAATCATTATTTAGCATTAATTCCACCCAAATTAGTAGCACAGTGAACACACCGTTATTTTCATGCTGGCAGCCGCTAGAGGGCACTCTAAGCTTGTGTATCTACAATAAATAAATAATAAATATATATTTAGTCATATGAACTGTAAATACTTTTATATATATACACCTTATATGTTGGGTCACTGATGAATTTGTGTAGCTAAACAGGCATGATATGATATATTTATATGATATATGGTCACTACTACACACTTAAGAATTATGCTAATATTTATTTTTATTGTATTATTACTCATAATCTACTAGCACTCCATTTTGGGGCATTTAGGACTGTGCTATAGACATACTGTAGGTTAGTGTGATATTCTGTTGACATTGGTGTAGCCTAAAATACAACAAACAAACAAATAGTTCTGCAAGTTATCAGCTTACCATTTGCAAATGAATGAATAGGAAATTCCTAAACATTTATGACATTATGCAAAGACATTTCTACACCCAAGAATTGAGTAAAGTACTAGTAATATTAGGCTCCACAACATAGTTATTACCTAATCGAGGCATTACTGCCCCTAGGAACTGTTCATCCTCTTGGAAGTGGTTCTCATTTAAGGATTCTAGCAGCTTTGTTAAAACATCTTGTGGTACCTGTGATTGAAACAAATAAGATACACAGCAAATAATATTACCGCAAAATAAGTGTTTTTATTGCCTACCGTACGATACTGACTTCCAACAAGGATACTTCTTTAGAGGGCGGTTCAATAAATATGCAATTAACTCAAATTCAGATTATACATGGCACAGATCTGCGGTATAAACACTGACCTGCAAAGTGAGGACACCGAGCAGGAGATTGCTTACAGCTACCTTTATTTTCTTCTTTTTTAGCATGCGGTTATTTCAATACAAATGGAAGCAAATCTATGTGAATCAAACAAATTTGGAACAAAATACCAACCTTGCAGCCTGTGCCCTTGAGCTCAGCAAAGCGTGTGAGTCTGAAGTTCTTGTCCAGCTCATGGCTTTCGGGGTTAAATGACTCCCTCAAAGACATAGTCTTAATAATTCTGGACCCTCACCACCAGGACCTAAAAATTTAAAACAGACCAAAAAAAAAAAAAGATTTACAAACACAGCCCAGCCCTACAGTAAGCTGAGAATAAGTGTCTAAACCTGAGGTCTCCAACTATTGGGTTATTTGGTACCTTGCCGTTCAGTTTATTGATTATCAATGTGAAAATTTGAAATGACCCTAGTCATCTTGATTCAAATCAAGACCAAAAAACAGAAATAAGGATCTAGTAAAATATAAAATTACAATGTTGTGTTCATTTTTGGTAAATAGTAAAACTGCATCCAATTATATTGCATTAAAAACAACCCCATTTGCAATAGACATCAGTAAATTTTGTTTAATTAACCAAAAGGCTAAGTGAAAACAAATGTTGAAATACTGACAGATCATATTTTACTAGTGTAGCTGTGCATCATGTTACCAATGTAATGTAACAGCACTGTGACATGCACATCAGTAACAACATAAAACATCACAAGATGATGACATGGGGTCAATGGTCTTCAATTTCTTTAAAAACACTTTATATGATACCCTGATTTTGAAAAACAAAAATTCTGACACTTATAGAATAGAAAATGATTGTCTTCCATAGCTTTAAATTATTATAAACTTCTTCCCCGCCATTGGGATACATGGTGATCAGTCAGAAGTTGCTGGAGGTCCATTGTAAGTACAATGTGGGTGTGTTCAAAATAATAGCACCAGGTTCAATCTTCAGACACCGACATGACTTAACAAACGTCAAATGAGTATTAGTAAACACAAAGCCTACTGAATACTCAGTTTGAAAGGGCATATAGGTTTCAGTTAGTGTTTGTGTCAAAACATTTTGTTTAAGTTCAACTGGTAACACCTCCAAACAAACGCTGGTCCATAACATGATGCTATGGAGCGTAGGCAACACAGCACAACAAAGAGCCTAGTGCAAATGAGCTACTAGTGAAGAGTTGGCTGAAATATCAGTCATTTTGCGCCCGTGACTTGAAATCAAATACAAAGCGGCGTATCACTGGCACCGGCTCGGCGCACATGTATGTTACAAAGTTGTAGTTTAGGACCGAACAAAAATGTCGGCGGCGGAAAATTTAACCCTTTCCTCTCCCTCGCCATTACAAATGTGCAACATCGGAATTAAAATCTATGAAACAAATGCAAACTCGCAACTTTTGCGAGTTATACAAATAGTGTGCAATATAAACGTTCATAACATATCTAAGTATAAATTTTGGTCAAAAGTGGGCTTATATTCTTGCAACAATTCCCCTTTAATTGCTATGCCCAGCTTTTTCTTACCAGCTTCACGTTAGCAGTAGATCCCAACAGATGAGCGGGGGACAGGACCACAATGCATTGCGGCAAGAATCGGGCGACGACAGAGAATGCCTGACAAAAATTAAGAAATATTTGGCTTCTAAATTGTCTTTACGCAACGAAAAACACCTGTAATCGAGCACAATTACGTAATATTTAATTATCACACAAATAAAGCGACAATTTATAAATTATATCACAACCTTGATTAATGCAAATAGAGGAAACTGACGAGATATCTAAAAGTCGTCAGCTCGAAAAGTGGCGGCTTTAACATCCCCTTTAAATAGCGGTGAAGTCTGGCAACCTCGTCTCTATAATGGAGTGTACCTTTAATTTACTCGTTTCCCTCCAAATGTACATACAAAAGCAAAATATTGTTCGGATTTATAAACATTAAATATAAATGTTACTTCTAAAATAAACATGTTACCCCTTTGCCCGATTCAAACTTTGTATTAGGCAAAAATATACATAAAACGCCCCATTTAAACTAAACTATAAACAGCCTCAATGAGACTGATATTTTTTCTTTTTTAAAAAAGATTTAAAATATATACATTTAATACAAACAGTCAATTATTGTTACTGCAAAAGTATTAATTGTTTTAATGTTTTCTTGTTTTTTTAATGCTCTGTTGTTATCTTTGTATTCACTGTAAGGTGTCCTTGGGTGACAGAAAGGCGCCTATGAAATAAAATGTATATTATTATTATTATTGTTATTGTTATTATTATTATTATTATTAAAATTGAAAATTATAGCTAATGCTTCGGGCACCTGACCAGCCCACTTAAAATGTAAAATCAACGCCAGACTATACCCACCTGCAGATGGTAAATATTTCAACACTGTCGATACACAATCCTGATACGTAAAGATAACAATTTACAATTTAACAATCAAGTTTAACAATTTAAAACACTTTTTTTTTTACGTAAAATCTGGATTTTGCGGTGCTAAGGACGCACTTGAAACGCAATATACCATAAACAATTTAGTAAACGTGATAAAAGCTCTTACATATTAAGTGTAAATACTCTTTGCCACTGACGGTAGGAAACGCATCACCGTAGAGGCGTCAAGTGAAGAACAATGTATGCAATCCTATCAAATTATTCAAATATTATTATTACGACAATGTTTTATTCATTATGATAACTGAAATAATTTTAAAACAACATACGTAGACTAATGCGAAAAACGAAAACGGTAAATAAGGAAATTTAAAAAACAAGCTAAGGAAGCAATTTACTCGTTTAAGCGCTGATTGTAATACTTTAACCAGGACACTACAGGTTAAATATCTTTATTTCATTAGAAATGCTATTTCATTGATCAATGAATACATACAAGTGTTTAGTTCATACATCGTACTGCATAGTTCTGTCCATATATGACTGCAAATATGTTATTTTAATGGCTGCAGGATATGTTTTTATAGATTTTACTTTGTGCAGAAATTATATGGTGACAAATAATATTATGATAATAATATTGCCATCTAGTGGGAACACTGCATACTGCAACAACACAAAAAAGCTTCAATTTATCAATAGTATTTACAGAAATTTGATAATTTATTTATCAAAATGTAACGTCGTAATAAGCTTCATATTTATACTAAATGTGAAGCTTGTCGTGTCTCCTAAACGGTAAAGTTTGGTCAACCTGGAAATCTGCAGGTTTCGAAATACCTCATAGAACAAATGTAAAAATGTTAAAAAGTTTAACATTTACTTAATAATTTGTGTCTTTATTGGAAACCAAGAGAGCTGAATTCTTGTCAGTCCCAATAGGCACTTGAACCACGGATCTTCTTGTTATTTGCTTTAAAAGATCGGCGTCTCCTTTCAAGTCAATCCGTTAAAAATGTCAATATTTGGCCGGTTTTCACACAGATCCAGCGTGTTATTTTTTTTTTTTATTGATTTATATTTAAAAGACTCAAACGAGAGGTGTGGGGACTCTTATACTGAAACGTTTTCAGGGCATTTTCCGGCTGAACTGTGAAAACTTCCGGATCGAAACTCGGACTCGCAGCCACAAACTGGTTCCAGCGCATGTACTAATCTTGTATAAACGGATATTATATTAGTTTTAGTTACGAAAAACGAACATAAGTGTTTATGATGGATATTCTTAAAGCTGAAATAGCCAGAAAAAGAAAACACATTGAAGAAAAACAGCTCGTGGACGTAAGATCCCGACTCACTTGTTTGTGTCGTTAGCTTGCTAGCCTTAATGATAACATTAAGCCCTCTATACAAGCGAAAATGTATTTCAAAATATCTGATTATTTTTGTATACACTATTACAAACTCGTTATTGAAATGCAAAACGACCAAAGCTAATCTAATTTGGGGGTTTCATCGCAATTTGGGTTCAACAACAATTAGAAATGGCTACATAGTTCATCTCAGGATTACATTTGTTGCATTCATATGGATGCTCAAAGCCATTTTGACACCAGTACCTTATATATCGCAATTCACATTCTCACGAGGGGAAATATTACATGATAATGCTTCAAGATGGAATTTTAACTCGTGGTTCTACATTGTGAGCAACGTGCAGCATAATAGATATCCGGGAAAATATCACCAGGATAGGCTGTTGTATTGATACAGAATTTTTATAAATACATAATTAAAATTGTTTTTATGTTTTTGTTTTACCAGGACAACAAAAAATTCTTCAAGAGATCAGAGCTTGCTCGCATGGAACAAGAGGACTACTTTAAAAGATGTGGCTATAAGGTTAATACTTCGGTTACTACTCTCTTCTTTTAACTCTCTAAAGGTTATATCCTAATCTGTAAGGTATTATTCAGTCTAATCTTATCTCATATTCAGTCCAATATTGTAAAGATGTGGCAGGAAGGCCAGCCATTTGTGGTCTGCAGAACATTCGTGTTTCTACCCGTGTTTATTGTGCTTTTTTCCCCAACCTGCCTCTGCTGCCTGCATCTGTAGGTTCAGAGTGAGACTCCTGAGAGCCAGGTATGGGATTGCATAGTAAAAGTAGCTAAAAGGATGCATGGCAAAGACATTAAAACGAACGGTGTCCCTAAAGCTTCTAATGCTTTGGTCACCTTTAGGGTTTTTTGTTATTGAAAGCATGTAGAATGAATGTGTGGACATTACCTCAAGAGAGATGCCTACTTTGGTCCATTTTGACAATTATAGCACATTGTTAAAATGCTTAGCTTATTTTTTGCAGAAAATAAAATGATCATAATTGAAAATCATTGCAAAATACTACAATTAAGCATTTGGGACAAAGGTAATGGCATCATCAAATGGAGACATTTAGTAACCACCTCATTGCTCCAGTACATCTGTATAATAATCCATGCTGGCTATTTTACTAACCCTTTCCCAAGTCTGCCTACAAGCGGACCCGAAGGAAGCGACCATGCCAGAGAGGGACACTCACTGTGTGGTGTCCACACTGTGAAACCGAGATGGAAAATGTTGAGCTAAAAACTCTGTTTTGATGAATGCAGTTTTTTTTCTTTTTGAGTGAAATTCTCTGTTTCTTTGTTTGAAGACTTTTGTTATTAGTTTTGTTTGGTCTTTTTAAGACTGTGCTGCTTTGATCGTAATTTTACGGGACAATTGCATGTCTCTTACAGTCAGCTTTGAAAATAACATAACGGGAGGCAGAGATTAAACTGTATGTTTCATACTAGACATTGAGTTTGTCACCTATACATACTTTAAATAATGTGTAAAAATACGTGTCATCTTTCTCACTGAAGACTGATAACACCGACGAAGATGATTCGTCCACCTCGGCTAATCCAGTATTGGAAATGGAACTAACAGAAGAAAAACTGCCAATGACTCTGTCACGACAGGAGGCAAGTCAACGCGCATCGTTGTACATTTCACTCTGAGCGTGTTCTGTTTCTTTTTCACTTTATCATTTGTTGTGTTTAGGTGGTTCGACGTCTTAGAGAAAGAGGTGAACCAATTCGACTGTTTGGAGAATCTGATTATGATGCCTTTCAGAGGCTAAGAAAAATTGAAATTCTGACCCCTGAAGTAAACAAGGTAGGTGGGAATCCAGGTCTTCTCCAAACCAAGCATGATTTGATGAAATTATTTTAGCATGCAGACTACTGGACACTGTTTTGACTATAGTATATATTTGCTGTTCACTCTTAGGGTTTGAGGAATGACCTCAAAGCAGCCATGGACAAGATTGACCAGCAGTATCTGAATGAAATTGTCGGAGGTACTGAACCAGGAGAGGTGGACACACAGCACGACTTGAAAGTACATGAAGAGAACACAACTATAGAAGAACTGGTGGTACGTTTCCAAGATTATTTATTATATTGATATTTTTTCACTCAGAAACTTAGGTTAATATATAAGTAAGATTATTTTGGAATTAAACTTAGGTTAATATATAAGTAAGATTAAGAGAGATTAAGAGAAAAACAAATTTAAACCAAAATGTCTAATCCAGCGGGGGCAGTGGTGCCCAACTTTTTTAGTACGATATCTGGGGCCCATTCAAATATGAACACTGCGTTGTTTTGTTCTCACTCTTGGTTTGATTGGTATTCAGTAAATAAATCAGTTTCAGAAAAACAAGCAAAGACCTTGTTTACTTTCCGAGATGCCCCTTTAGAATTCTTGGCTCTGTTTCTTTGCCTCATTTACAAAGTTATACTTACTGAAAACAGGATTACACTCCAAAGTGTTGCCTTTTAGGTGGGCAACATTTATGTTGTCTTATTTTTTTTTTAAACTATCAAAAAACCTTTGCTACAGGTTACTGACTGGCACAGTTTTTCCTTTCCTTGTATTAAAGCATGTTAAACATCTACCTGTCACATTACTGCCACCGAGTGGTGCAAGACTGTATTGTAACTAAGCCCAAATAACAGTAATACCTCTAGTGTCTACAGTTAATTACCAATACTGTCCTTTGTCAAGATTAAGAATTACGGATTTAGATCATTTTAGCTATTTACTTGAAATAATTTACACTTAATGCTACATCTCATAAAAATACTGCACCATTCAGATACACAGAATGCATGTATCATTGTAAACATAATTGTGCAGTTAAAGCAAATTGTTTTTTCTGCAGTATCAGCTTGGTTTCTTACATTATTACTACCAAAAAACAGTATTTGAATGCGTGAACCTTTGATATTAAACTGAATACAAAATAAGAAACACATAAATGAGTATGTGACGTAGAAATTTGAAAACTGAGTCAAAATTTTGAAACCACGATCAGGCAGTTAAGTTAATAGAAATCACAGGAAATTATTGTATTTACTCGGTTATAACATGATATGACACAGTTCATGTTTAATTAATTTAGTCTTTAAAGCTAACGGTTGGTTTTTGTTTTTATCAAAACCCTTTACCAAAGGTTCTGGGTGAAACTTTGGGAAGAGGAGATGATAATGGAGACCAGGATGTTATCGACAAAGTTTTGAGGGTAAGTCTTATTGGATGTTATCGACAAAGTTTTGAGGGTAAGACAGAATGACATGTCTTATTGCTGTTAAAAGGCTATTGGATTGCATTCAGGAAAATAAATAATAACAATACTTTAATACTAATTTGAGGGAATTAACCAGTGATATCATATTGATATTGATATCATATGTTGTTTTTTTTCTAGTTTCTTCTTGGTGTTTGGGCCAAGGATCTCAACAGTCGAGAGGACCATGTTAAGCGGAGTGTTCAGGGCAAACTGGCCAGTGCTACACACTCTCAGACAGAGTCTTATCTCAAGCCACTTTTTAGGAAACTCAGAAAGAAGGTATTGTTTTTACTGTGTGTGAAATCTTTATTTCTGTTTTATTTTGAAGACCAGGCGTGGGCAAACGTTTTGACTCGCGGGCCACAATTGTCCTAAAATTGAACGGGGGGCCGAGTCAGGAGCAGATAGATGGAGCGTTCGTGTGAACTGAGATAAATGACATGTAAAAAAGTCATGTATAAAGGCTAAATTGCCTTTATCATTTTCGATGCCATCTATTGGGGAAACGTGGGTGTTGCAGGGAAAAGGCAGAAATATAATGATAATATAAATAAAATATCGGCCGCCGGGCCTTAGTTTGCCCATACCTGTTGTAGACTATGTTCTTTTTTTTTCAATCGGACCAATACCAATCCTAGGTATCAGATCAAGCCATACCTTTGTTTCCTAATAAGTTTTGTGTAATGTGTAATATCTGTTTGCCTTCTACTGCTGTTCTTCTTCTCTAGAGTTTGTCAGCCGACATCAAAGAGTCAATCACAGATATCATCAAATTCATGTTGGAGAGAGAATACGTCAAGGTATGTTATAGATAAAAAATATACGTACATTTCCTAGATAATTTTTTTTCCATTAACCTGTCGTTTTTGTTGTAGGCAAACGATGCCTATCTCCAGATGGCCATTGGAAATGCCCCTTGGCCCATTGGTGTGACCATGGTGGGTATCCACGCCCGTACTGGACGAGAAAAGATTTTCTCCAAACACGTAGCTCATGTTCTCAACGATGAAACACAAAGAAAGTATATTCAGGTGAGGCTGTGGTTCTGTCTTCCTGTCCTTCCATTCAGTGTGATTTGTTTTTCAGATGTTGTAATAAGATTCAGTATCCAGCAACTAAACAAAAGCAAGAGTCCTCTGAGTAAGGAAAAAAAACTTAATTAGGTGAATTTCCAAAATCATCTTTGAATCCGTAATTTAGGGGGCAATCGCACTGGGTGCAGTACAACCGTGTCATTCCCTGGTGTGATTACAACCTTCATATATTAATGGGTATTGAATTAACAAATATTTTATGTATTTTTTAGTTTTTTAAAACTGCTAGTATCACTTCTTACTACTGTTTTTCACTGTAAAATCTTCAGTTAACATCTTGTTAGTTTACAAATATTAATACTAGAATAATCACAGTAGTAGAAAATGCTTTGCACACAACACAAGAATTTCCCAAGTGTGGGATCAATGAATTTCAAATTATTATTGTCATTATTGTTAATATTGTTATTATTATTATTATGTCTGCTTGATTTTCTCATTTAATTCTTCTTCTTTTTTTACAGGGTCTTAAGAGGCTAATGACTATCTGCCAGAAACATTTCTCCACAGATCCTTCTAAGTGTGTGGAGTACAATGCTCTCTAATTGTCAGGTTCATTGATTCACACTTCATTGTTAACATTTGTCAAAGCAATTCAGTGGTGGCTTTTACTCTCACCAAAGCAGGATCATTAAAGAAAGTTGTCTTAAAGCACAGATGGATTTCACTGGGAATCACATGTATTAAATTAAATTTTGGTGAGGTTGTACAGTCAGAATAACGCAAGCAGGATATCTTGACTGATATTTCTGAAGAAAACTGTCTCAGTTCACACGTTATTTTCTCACAATGAACATGTTTTTATTATGTTCGGAGGAACTTATACATTTTGTTTTATTTTATGGGCTGGAATTATTACCCTTTATATCAGCTTTTTTCAGCATGCATTCAATTTGTAGAAAAATATCTAATAGTGTAAGTTTTATTACATGGGTGATATTAAAGTGCTTTGTGTTAAAAAATTAGCTGTTGTGTTATGTCTCTAACATGTCACGTGTCCAGTGTTTTAAATATAAGAAATGACCATTACAGGGAATCTTTGACTGATATTCCTACAGTGCCTGTTACCGGTGATGAGCAGCTTGGTGTGTTCTTGTCTAAATACTTCTACTGCGCAGAGAAACGTTACTGCCCATTTTATGAAGTGATTATGACTTTTGGTTTAGTCGCTGATAAAATATCAGTGTGAGCCAGAGGGCGGCGTGAGGGGCTTCCAATGGAATATGGCACTTATATGGACATAAGTGTACCACTGCTGTAATGCATGAATGATAACAAGCCTAAAAAAGCCTAAAAGTCATGCATGAAGGCTAAAATGTTAAATTGGTTTTAGCCTTCTCTATGCAATCTTTTGGGAAAATGTGGGCATTGCAGGGGAATGGCAGAAGTATCATCACAATACAAATTCAGATTCAGTCCCGTTAGTCTATGCATTATATCAAAACAATGTCTATTTTGTGGAAAATGCAATCCTTACAGCAACATATAAGGCCTATTCATACACTGGCCAGTTGTTGGCTACCTAAGGTGATGCACGAAGTTGCCATAGCAACGTTATGTCCGTTCTGCCTATGCAGTTGTCCCCTCTCAACACTGTTGGCCAATTACAATTAGAAAGACCATTATCTAAAGCAGCTAACCCAGGTAGCATCGCTTACGGTGTCTTCATCAGCTCATGGCTCTTCAGTCCTCACTTTCATTAGCGACACTTGGCAACCAGCTGATCCACCTTAACAACTGAGGGCGAGTATTCACACAGACTCTGTCAGCTTTAAGGTGTTTTCTCATGAATTTAAAGGTCCTAAGTTATACTTTGATTCAATTTATTTTGTTCTTTTAAAAGCACAAATCTTTTACCATTCTCGTTAGTGCCTGAGCGCAAACGTTTATCCACTAGTGTTTTAGGTGTTTCATAAGTCTGTAGTTCAAGAAACCCGTCAATTGCAGGTTTTCTCAGTAACCATGGAGATGTGGTGTGTTCATTCTAGTCATAGTGTGTACTCAGCTCCGTGAACCCACGTTACCAGTTTCAGTCGGCAGCTCTACACACGTCACTGCCCATGACTCAGCTGGACAGCATGGCATTATGTAATGCAAATACCATGAATGGATTTTCCACTTTCGCAGCTCACAAAAGCTGAAAGAGCACAAAAAGACAAATGAGCAAAGAACATTATCATCAGAGCTTACCTCATAAGGCATGACTCAACCTGTCCTTAAGATAGAATTAGGTATTTTTCATTATCTTTAACGTCATTGTCAGGTTATACAGTAATGATGCACTTGATTCAAAATACAACAAAGTTTTGTTTGCATTTAAAGCACATAGCCAATGTTGGCAGTAGTTGAAAGAAATGAGAAGTGCCTGAATGAATGAAACAGAAGTTCAGAAATTATTGTAAAGTATTAGGTCACATCTGTTGACTAGGTGTGATCTAGGCATTGTTGATTATTTGATTAAAAGTCATTTGCGGACCCTTGTGCCTGACCTCATCTGTCACTCTGTCCAGTACTACTACCAAAAACAATGGGCTTGTGTCTGATCCCTGGTCTGCACACCTTACCACAGCGGTAAGGCTTGCTGTTCTCATACATCTTTTTCACCACTCTCATATTCTCCTTGGCCACTCCTGATTCCTTCATACAGTGCCACAGTTCCTCTCTTTGAACCCTATCATATGCCTTGTCCAGATCTATCAGATACAGCAGAACTAATGGTCCTTGCAGTTCTTACAGTACAAACAACTGCAGACTGACCTTTGACCTTATCATGTACCTGATCAACTCCATCTCTCCTATTCTTCACAGCTGATGAAGAAAAGGTTGCTTTCCTCATTCCTCAGCTCTGAAAAAAAAAGTTATTTTCTACTCTCAAAAACCCCCAACTCACTAGCATGACCCACACACTCACTAGCATGTTGCACTCTTGATTTTTGCTGTTTTTCCTTCTCAGCTGTATCTCTGCTTCACTAAACAGTACAAATGTTTTGCTACTTGTGTACTGTTTTATTTCTTATACAGCAAACCTTTTTTGTTACTGTCACTTTCTTGACAACACTGAAGCTTAACAGTACTATTTGGCTTGATCAGGTACTCAGGTATCTGTTCTCTCTCTGGTCCTGGGATGTTTTGCGCTGCTGTTGCCTTTTTGTTACAACTACACTGAATCCAGAACTGACGAGCCAGAGCACTTGAGGGCGTGGCCTCCAATTGAGGAAAGGTAGTATTTATACCTCGGCTCCACATGGATGCAACACCCTGATTTGTTTCTTTCAAAATTCATCAAGCGGGCCAGATTGACAGCCCTAACAGCCCTGGTTTGGCCCACGGACCATATGTTTGACACCCCTGGTTTAAGCACATGATGGTCATGTAAGCTCCCTACATGTCTGTATTCAAACATGTTTTGCTTATGTTGTGTGTTTCCCTTTATTTGCCTCACAACTAGGTTCCCCTTACTGACTGTAAGATGAGAGCTGGCCGATGAAAACCTACTCCTGTGACCTTTGTTTAGACATAGAGCTGTGTTAGAATAGGAGTGAGGGACACACTCATTAACACCTTTAAATTATGACGCTTCTCTGCAGCCTTTGTCTAAATCAATTATTTTCTGTCATATCCCCCTTTGGGGACAGAAATGTTTTCACTACACCCCCTTGAATTGAAATACTATTGAGAACCTGATAACATGTCATTTTTTTAATTTGTACAAACCACTTTATGAGTTGCTGCCACCTAGTGACTGGAGGCTTGTTATTATTCAAGCATTACAGCAGTGGTACACTTATGTCCAGCGTGCAGTATTCCATTGAAAGCCCCTCACGCTGCCCCTGGCACCTCACCACGCCCCCCCCACCCCCCCTCAGGGGGCCCGCCCCAGTATTTGAGAAGTAGTGGTCTAAATGCATATATTATCACACTAAGAAATAAAAGAAAAATCTGGTCATCTGGCCCCAGTGGGATCAAAGATATTATATAGAAAATTTGCATGTGTTGTAAGAGTGATAACTATAGCAGAAAGAAAAACATTTGCAATCAATTTAAACATAAGAATAGTCATACAAGGTTCTTCAAAATATTTTAACAATACTTGTACTTTATGTTTAAATCCTTGGTTTAGGTCTATGTCATTCATCACACCAGTTTGTAATTCATCTTCATTTGTCTAGCGTTTGAAGACGGTTTGGTTTTACAGGGCGAGCTCGGTGGTGACATTATAAAATGATTGAACTCATTGCTTCTTTTCACACGATCCCTTTGAGGTAACTTAATATTCGTGAAAATAGCTTGTCCATGTTTGCCTGCCAGCTTGTAGGGATTAGCTATAAATAGAGCTACACTTTTCTTTTAACCTGGACCGACTGAGCTGTTTGATCGTTGCCAGGCACCTGAGCAGAGCTGGAAACCAATTACAATTGAAGACATGGCTTGTCACTCTTTTCCCCTCCCTCTGTCCATCTCTCTCTCTCTCTCTCTCTCTCTCTCTGTGTGTGTGTATCTTTCGCTTCTCTGGATCTCTGCCTATCTGAAACCTATTCTCTGATTTATTACTTCATTCAGTTTTTATCTGATTCATATATTTATACAACACCACCCACACACACGACACTCATCTCTAAGTGCATCTTGTACTGAAACATTTCTTTTCTCTAAGAACAGATGGACAAACCAAACAAAACCATGTTCCAGTAATAGACGTAATCAACTGACTGTGGAATATAGAAATGATAGAAATAGCATCAACATCTGATGTCAGTGGACGGAAACTTTTTAAAAAACATCGTTAATTGTATTATTACTCATTTTTAAGGTCTGCCATTTTAACTAGTTTCCTATAAATATATTTATATAATTATATCGTTATTATAATTATAATTTAATGATGATTTAAATGATAATTTCTAAAAAACACACAACTTGTGCTGATAGGATTGTAAACCCCCCTCTCTCTCTCCCCCCTCTCTCTGTCTGTCTCTCTCTCTCTCTCTCTGTCTCAGCAGCCGCCTCTTCTTCTCAGTCTGTGCACAGCTCTTAGTTCTTCTTGTTCCCTTCTCCACGGTTTGATGTCGATGACAGAATAATGACAAACTGTGCTCAGTGGTAGCTAATAGAATTAGATCGGAGCGGACATCCTCGTATCATTCGTCCTCGGAATGGACGTCCTTCAGGCGAAGAAGAGCGCAGGGAGCGCGGAGGAGAAGTACAGCGCGGTGGCCTATGACACGGCTCTGAGCACCCTGCTGGCCGTGGCTGTGTACGTGCTGGTGAAAGTGAGCGTGGACGGAATCCGGCAGTGGCGGGCCAGGATCTCGGTGCTCATTGTGGGTTCTGGACCCGTGGGGCTGACGGCCGCTCTGGTAGCCGTACGCACCGGGAAGGTGTTAAAACTGACCGTGCTGGACGAGAGGTACCGAACCGCGCTCATCTGCCGACCACAGCAAATTGCCCTGGATTCACGGAGCGTAAAGTTTCTGCTGGGACTCGGAGTGGACTTCGATAACATGGAGGGCTGTTGGCACAACGAGCACTTCTTCACCAGGATAGGCGTGTTCCAGGAGTACCTGCTCAGCATCCTGGAGCAGACGAAGCAGAAGGTGGAAGTCAAGGTGCAGCTGGGAACCAAGGTACCGCCAACACAAAAACCATGTTAAAGACGGGGAGAAAATATGATAGAATCTCAAAATCGATGTAGCTTTATAAATGGGTTGGTTTCCAAACTTCTTTTTCGCACCCTCCACCCAAACAAACAAACAAGCAAACAAACAAACAAATAAAAAATTGAAAAATTACGATATCCTTTTCAACATTATTGTCAGATATTCATTTTTCACCACCTTAATCCAATCCGTTTTTTCCCAGTCTATTGTTAAGCATTTACAGCATTGTACAATATGCTGCGTTACGTTTCATTCATTCATTCATTCATTCATTCCATCCGTGTCTCTGGGTTAATTGTCAACGCTATTGGCTACAATAAGAGAGCTTTAAAAAGTAATAGATAGTACAATAAATTACATTTTACAAATTAAAACACAGACAATACAAACGATGGCTTAAATTTTACAAATACATTTAAGTAACAAACTTAAATGCCAACTGTTAAAGATGTAGTTTGATTCAGCTGTGACCAATTGCACAACCACATGCAGGAAAAGCTGCCACTCACTGATTATATTTTAATTTAAAGGACAAACTGTGCATTTATTAACCTATTTTAATTGGCATTTACTCTGTTGTTAGCTGTTGTAGAAGAACATGACCAGATGGTGAGGTCGACAACAAACACAGGTGGAGAGCTTTTTATTGCACTGTGTCAATATCTTCTTAATCAGTGTTTTTCAACCTTGGGGTCCACCTGCAATGTCTAGTAGTTGATAAAAAAGTACTGATAAAAACATTTTTTAATAGCAGTTTCAAAACATGTTAGTTTTAAAAAAAAAAAAATTTGATTAAAAACACCACATCTAAGCTTCAACAACTGTACCTTCAACTCACCCACAGGAATATGAATCAAGTTCAAATGAAATGCAGCATATAAGAATCTCTGAGCTGGAACATCTTGATTGATGGCTGCGATCACGTGACTGAATAAAAATGTCTGGGGTTGCCAAAATGGTTGGGAACCACTCTGCTAAAACAGTAACAACAATTGCACAATTTAGGTGTTTAGAATAGCCTAAAAATAGACTACAAATATATAAAAAATAAAAGCAGCTGCACAGGATCATTGCATACACGCCTTGCCTATACAAATACCCACAAGTGTATGTAAATAATCAAAATGCTTATGATGACAGTAAGCAACAGCCACAGCTATTAGGACCTATTGTGTGAAAGAGTCTCCTATAAGCAACTGCATTGATGCTAATTACAAACCGGTTCAGGTGCCTGCGTTTAGAAAACAAAGTCAGTGTATGCATTACACAAAGATAAAGACCTATTCTTTGTTTGATTAACTGCTAATATGTAATATTAAAGAAAGTGATAATAATAATAATAATGTACAGTATGCTGTCAGAGCAAAAACAATGTAAATGTAAAATGAAGTTCGCCTGTTGAACAGGTCTGTCAAGAACACATACAGTAAATGCACACAGTGACTGCCATGGCTCAAAACCTTCACTGAACCATGGCATCCCAGAGGTCATAGTGGCAGTCCTTTTATAGAACACATTGTGAGAGAGTTTCTCTCTCCCCTCCCATTAACTTTCCAGAGTGTTTTCCCTCCACTGTTCAATGCTCATTTTTGACTTTTCTGTGACTTTTTCACAATGACTCAACAAAGTCAGTGAGATGGAAGGTCAAGAGGAAGTTTGATCAGATGAAACTCCAGCTGCACTTAGCACTCCTGCACTTCTCATTTCCTCTCCTTTAAACAGGGCCTCTGCATTGGATGGCTTTGTTTTGACCCACCAAGCCTTCAAAGGTCAAACTGGAATTTCATTAAACTGCAGTGGAAAGGATCAAATATTGATGAAAAAGCTCTAAACTGGTGATTAAGCATGGTGATTAAATTATTCCTTAAAAATATGACATTTTTGGAAGTCCTTTTTGTATAATGCTGAAGCTACCTGAGCAAAGCGTCTACGTGCAGTCCGTCCTGGAGGATGAAACTGTCAAATGGAGGTAACTCTCCATTAGCTAAAGCTGCAAAAGTAATGTATGGAGAGTTACACCAGCATTGTTGGACGTGTGTGTCTGTGTATTTCTTACTCTGTCAATATGATGATGTCTTTAAAGAAAACTATTACTATTATTTGATGTAGTTGTGTTTTCACATGGGTTCTATCCAGTTGCATTCATAGTTTAAGTATTTGTTTCCCTGATTATTATCAAAGGTTTATGGCAACACACACAATCATTTTTAACATCTTCTTCACATGTATATTTAGCGTTTACCTCTGTTTACAATAAGTATAAAGTATGTAAAGTATTTTTAAATAAATCATGAATATTTTTTCAGTTTACAGAGTACTATCTGCGTCACATCCCTCGCAATGAATGGCCAGATGTAATTGTGGTGGCTGATGGGTCGTGTGGTGACTCCTGTTCCGTGCTGGGGATCAACTCCGATTACGTGATGGAGTCATGCCACGCCTATGGAGCAAATGCAACTATAGAGAGACTAGACCAGCGTCAGGTAGGTTTATACAGTACTTATATGAAGTTCCATTAGTGTGCGCTGTGTGGGGGCAAACATACCTTGAAAAAATATAAATAAATAAATACATAAATAAATATATATATGTACTGTATATATGGCTTATATGTATATGTGATACATATATGTATATATATATATATATATTTGATGTATGTATATGATTACATACATAGGTACATATACCTTCTTTGGATTCAACTTGTTCTCACAGCAGTCTTCCTCAGCTCAGAGTTAATTAAATAAAAATGACTGGCTCTCTCCTATTCATCTTGCCTTTTATTCCTTTCTTTTTCAAGGCTGCACAGAAGGACGTGCCTGCAAAGCCTATACACCCTATTTTGAGAGGCAAGCATTTACATCATATTTTGAACCTAACAAAATGTTTCCTGTATTTGGTAAACCCCCTTGTACTAAATAGTTCCAACATGAAAATGGTCTTGTTTACTTCCAAAAAATGAACGTCAGGTCTCAGTGCTGGCTTGGTGCAATACGGGGATAACCGTATAAGTCCACTATGAGCTGACAAGTCTGTGTGATTTTAAGCAGCTTTGATGAGTGTGCGCATATTTTTAATTTAGATTTTTTGGTTCTGACTAAGCTGATGATCAGCATTGTGGGGTTTTCCTTGTGGGACTACAAATGCCTCCTGCATTAGTCTTAAAAGCCTGATTGGGCCACCAGCAGCAGCAGCGACCTTTACTCTTGCTTGTCCCTGAGCCTTGATGTATTCGAGTCTCGTCAAGGTTCCTCCTTCAGCCCCTCCTCTGCTAACTGCTCCTACCGCGACCCTGTGGTGTATTCATCTGTTTATGTGCTCTAAAGCGGCCTCTGGCCTCCACTTCTTACAAATATCTCTTACTCGTGATAACCTTGATCTCCTAGTCGGTGGATGTCAGTGAGAGCTAGCAGAGTGTGTGGGCAAATTAAAAAGTCCTCCTTAACTCTATGTTGAAGATAAGGCTAATATTTGCTTTGGCTTATGCATCTCGCCTCACTTAAATTATTATGACATAGTATGGAATGGTGTTTTGATATGTCTTAAATAGTGTACACAATGTTCTTCCCAGGTTGTCAAGAAAAAAAATTACAAAGAACATTTAGATCTTGCTATGTGTTCTTGTTGTTTTCACTGTAGAAAATTAATTTAATAAAAAGTATACACGTCTGTCTCTGGGCGCCTTATATCGTCTTCTCTTCCGTGTAACTGCAGTTTCCTGCAGTGATTAAATTCAGCTCGGGGTAATTGTGTGTTCAGCCCTATAGTCTTTCTGCCCACTCTTCTCACTATCTCTCATTTCTGCTATAAATGCTGTTTCATGCCCTTCGGCTAGTTTTTGTCACCAAACAGAGAATTGATTAATTCTGGTTTGGGTGGAAAAAGAGAGCAACTGCCAAAATGACACAACAAATGAAAACAAGTCTTTTATCTCAACTCAAGCGACAGTTTAGATAATACTGAGGAGTCATGTTCAGTTTTCACTCTTTATGATTAAGGTTACTGGTTCTGTTTTTAATAGAAAGAACTAAGGAGTGTCTATAATCTCACAGAGCAGAGAGCAGAGGGTCCTGGGTTTGATACCCAGAGGAACCACATGCTTGGCGCCTGCTGTGGACAGCCTGTTAACAGCATATCTGCTGCTAAGACAGCAACAATTTCCCAAATATGGGATCAATATAGTACAATTTTTTTTTTTAATTTTTTAATTTGAACATTTATGTATTACCTTACCCATCCACTATGCGGCCACCTTCTGTTTCCTCCTAATGGTGGTTCCGTGCCTGAATAAACTGAGCTACCAGGAATGGCTATATTACATTGCCAAAACAAAGTGATTTTTTTTGGTTACTTTGTTTGGAACATTTGGTAATATTTTTTTTTCAAAACTCAATCCAAAAATCTTACATTTATTCTTTTTGTATCTGTACCTCTTTGTACCTTTCTTCCACTTTAGGTTCCCACTCCTGAGATCCGTGCCCACAGTCTCTACTTTGACCTGTCAGCGTACGGAGTGGAGGCTCTGCGAGAGCAACGCAACCCGACGGCCAAACCTGGCTTTCACCTAAAGATCTATGGCACCTTCAGAAACCGCTACATGGCCCTGGTGTGCCCCACTTCTGACAGCAAGATGGTCCGATTCCTTAGGCACACAGCCAACTCCTCTGTGAGTCTTCCTTTTTAATCATAATTCTTCACCAGTGTTAAAATATATATTTTTTAAACCTGAGAGATGCTAAAGATCGGGAGCAATATTTCTAAGTCATTGTTTTGATCAGAATAAATTGGTAATTATATCTGTATATGACATCCTGGACAAATCGCCAGTCAATGCCTCGGCCACATATACTGTAGAGATGCCTGAACATCTGTAACGCTCTCTCTTTTCTTTGGCTGCCCAGATCATGAAGACCATTTTCCACCAGTCCTTCAACGCCTGTAAGACTGATATAGAGCCTCGTCTCAGTGATATGACGTGCCACCACATGCAGTGCAGCCGGCGTCTCTTTGAGATTCAGTTGTCACACAGGCGCATCAGTGCTGCCTATATCGAAGGGGACAACGTGGCAGTTATTGTGGAGGGGGAGGCAGCACGTGTCCTCAACTTTGACACAGGTATGTATCTGTAAAGTTTCACTTACATATGAATGCAACATTGACCACAAAACATTGTAAACACATCAGTATAAACTTTTGAAGGAATGGTGTAGGAAAGCCAATAGCCAATAGCCGACAGGTCAGCATCTAAGGAGGGTTGATAACAGTGTGGGGGAGGTTAGGAGGGTAAATGTATATGTAAATAATATAAAAACTATCTCACCTCTACTTCGCAGATTTACCCTTTTCGCAGTGGGTCTTGGAACGCAACTCGATAGGAGAGGGACCACTGTAACTGTATTCTCTATAGAAGAAGTAAATTATTTATTTATTGTCTGTGGCCTTGTACCAAATGACCCTAGTCCACAGATCAAGGGTTGGGGCCCCCCTGACAGAAGGGATATAGCTTTAGAATGGTCTACGCACACTGTAGGTGTGTATGTGTATGTGCTGTATATTACAAATGTTGTTTTCTGGTTTATGTTATTATTTACAAGATGTCAATGTTTCCTTTACTGTTTCTGTATTTTCTCCAGGTTGTGGAGTCAATTTAGGCATCCGTGGTCTGGAGTCACTGGGCTCCTTCATTTACAGGACAGCCACTGCTGTGGACCAGAATGACATTTTAAAGGCTCTGTCAGAGAAGATGCAGCATTCTCGACAGTTGGAAGAAACTTTCAGGCAGACGGGACTGGCTGAAACAATGTATCAATGACCCAGAAATACATGCTGCCTAATTCACAATGCTACCTGTGAACAGTGTTAATAGGTAGAAGTCTGTCGACCATTAATGGACCAATAGCAGTGATAATAGTAAGTCTGAGTTGTAAAAAGTTTCTGTGACGTTGAGTTTTTATAATACAAGGAGCAAACGTATTGTCTTGATAAAATGCTTTGATTGTTACTACAATGTAACTTTGATCTCTTGTAGTAAAATAGTAAATACTTCAAAGCTCCAAGACTCCACACATGTGCTTGCATGGTGGACTATCTGCCATAACAGACTTGCGCTGGTTAAAGAAAAACATTTTAAAAAAAATAGACAAAACAAAAGGTGATCGATGTTTACTCAACCACAATATTTGGTTCTGTTCTCTGTTTATTGAATAAGAGTTTTTTTTTCTGTCATCTTATAGATACTTATAGTTGTAGTGCTGATGACCACCCCAAGTGCTTTACACTTCAAGTGCCGAGAAAATATAGGAATTTAGTACGTGACAAATTCTTTGTTTTGCTGTGTCCATGTGAGTGCTGCGGAGAGTGCTGGGACTCTAGGTAGATATCTGGCAACATTTTGGATTTAAAACTTTAAAGAGAGAAAGGAGCTGGAAAGAAGAAGATCTGTTTGGATTTCATCCAGACTGCCTACTGGCTAAAACATCTTAGCCCCAGCTAACGCCACTAGAGAAGCCATTTGCAGCGAAAATCTTATGCCCTAACAACACTGATTACAACAATGGCATCCAGTATTATGTAAACATGTAAGTGATAATTCCTCACATGTTTGTATAAGAGACAGATACTGTTGCAAGGCCGCTGAAGACGGTAAGAGTTGCTTTGTCTACGAGATTACATTTAGAAATTTTAACATGAAGAATTTATTTCTTCTTCAGGATAAGGTTAGGTCTATTAGAAATTAAAGTGCATCTCACTGCATAAGTTGTCCAACATCTGGGGGTACTCAGTTTAGGATGTCCTTGACCTGCTATGTTTTGTGGTTAGGTTGCCATCTCCCAAAAACGTATTACAAAAACCTTGTTCCATCATTCCCACGTACACAGTTAAAACTCACCAACTAGTTCATACAGGAGCAAGTTGTCTAGTGGAGTGGAGGAATACTTTGTCACACGGTGCCATATACTGACGACGTCTCTGTTTACATTCACAACATACATCGCAGTGTGCTACATTCACTTTCTTTCCTTTGTGGTTTTTTGGAAACTTTTTGCCCTTCGTTGTATTTGGTTGTATTTTGGGACAAACTTTTAACCTACGTGAGGCCATCACTTGGACATTGCTCATTCAATGTCTTTATAAAATGATGCTAAAAAGCCCAAAAATGTGACATTAATATACCTTTTTCTTTTAAATCAAGCATTTGTTTTGTTTTGTTTGTTTTTGTTTTGTATGATAATATTGTACTAATGTAATAAATAAAGGTATTTAAAGTGGCTTTTTTTGTGTGATCACTATTTTTGGGGATTTCTGTTGGCATCACACTGTACATTTTCTTTTCATATTTTCTTTTCTACAGAGAATCTAAGTGACTTAAATAATACCCTTTAAGATTAAGATTATAAAAAGGAGACTGTGCTAAAGATAATGACGTCATGTTCCTTTTAACCTGTCAATAAAGACTAACTTCACCACCTCAGGCAAAACGGCCTTTACTCGAGAGATCCTAACAGTGAATAAGGATTGACAATCCAACCTGCTGTAATTCCTGCTTGTAATTGAGCTGTGTTTTTATTTCCTGTCATTGGTTGTATTGGCGTGTCTTACTGTTTCATTTCTAGGACATATGATGTCGTAATTTCATGCACCTCAGTAAACTCAGTGTTCGAAGTGCGTGCTGCTTATAGTAATCCTGAAAGCCGGGTAATGCTCTCCCTCCTTTCTCTTTATTCAGCTGCAGTGACCATGAAGCTCAGGGTTAGGTCTAAACAACTTGCTGAGATGTTTTGCACATGTAATGGAGAGAGATAGTGGAGAATTGAACAAACAGAAAAGAGAAATAATCCAGGGCAGATTCATAGGTGTAATAAGGTGCATGGAGATGGTTGGAGTTCTGATAGTATATATATTTTTTGATTTACTGTAACCTAAGAAAAGCATTTGTACTTTTTTGTTAGGCACTTGGTTGAATTTCTGTTTAACTGAGCAAAAACAATAAATGGGGGTCCTGGAATTACGAGTTCTGTTCCTACATCGTGTAACTGGATTCTCTACGTTTGAACTCACATGCTGTACAGCAGTACCCATGTCACTCATCTACGCTAACACAGTGCTGACATCATAATCTAGAACATAAAAACTCAGAAGAGAAAAAAAAAATCCCCAAAACAATACAAACGAAAAGAAAGTTAATGCAGCATGTATGGTGTACAACCAGTTCAGGTAAATAAAGTAGGGATGTCCGAATATTAGCATAATTATGTAATAACGCAAGGTCCGGGATTGGCAAAATGATATGTGTTCTACAAAATAGTTTTGGGGGAAGAACGGCTGTATATGAAAGTGAAAGTCACTAGATGTGCACTTAATAAAGACAAGAGACAACATCCAGGTCATTGATCTTTACCGAAGTTGGTGCTCAGCCTAATTAAAAACAGTCATCTGACAGCAAAGTCCTGCAGGGCCTGGACTTCAAAACTCTGATCCAGCCCCTGCAGTAACACAAGGCCTTTATTAGATTGAACACAGCCATGAGAAAATCCTTTGGTTTTGCATACAATTAAACCAGGATGAAGGACAACTTAATTAATGATATGCAACGACAGCTTCATATATTAATTAGAGCTGCCAATAAAGGAGAGCCAGGAATTGGTGACACAGGCTGGTTTTCTCATACTCACACTAACATGCACCTGGTATATTCAATACCAGATAATGATCAACAAAGCATTTTTGTCTGAGCATGACTCTACAGTAACTGGAACAGGAATGTGGACAGCTTGGAAAAGAGGGCTGAGTAAATATCATCCATTCTTGGCCAAGTTAGTACTATAAACTAAACTGAAGCTCAGGAACGACACAAATTTCAGGCCTTTTAAGTTCAAAAGTTGAAAATCTGGATCACTTCTTCTCTAAGCAAGACTTTACATTTATAATTATGCATTTAGCAGATTTATCCAAAGCGACATTAGATCAAGGTTGCCCAGTCCAACAAAGTAGATCAGGATCTACCAGTAGATCACAAAGGGAGTGCTGGTAAATCATGAGCAATAAAACTAAAAAAATGTAAAATATAAATATAATTCTGTTGTGTGTGTAGTGACCATATGCTGTAAGAATCCAATCATCAAACATCTACATATATTTAATCAATGACTTAAACTGGACATACTTAATATACACCTTAGTGTATATTAAGTATGTCCAGTTTTTTAAGTAGGTGGATCAGTTTAACCTGGTCATCTGAATGATAGCTCTAAACACAGACTGGGGAACACCTACAAGACACAGGTGGAACAAACTGAGGAAAAGCTGTTTAAACAGAGGCAGGAAACACAGGAGGTCAGTTACAGGTGATGGGGGCATGGACACAGGAGAGAGGGAGATGATTGGATAGATAAAATATTTACATTTCCCATAACAAAAACATATAAACCAATAACAATAACTGCAATTATGACAGGACACAGTAAATGTCTGAACAATGATAACAATAGATAAACAAATAAACACCCCGCATAGCTCTCCCGTGGTTCGTGCTTCCACTGGGACACTACATGCTGCCGGACCCGGAAGTTCAGCGTTGCGAGTGTGAGTATGTTTGTTTTAAGATGTCGCTACGGGTTGATTGGTGAAGCTGCAACAGTGGGTACCTCACTGTCCGCCATGATGTTGAAGTGAATATACGTTGTCGATAATATGCTGTGTTGTGGTTGTTTGTGTAAACTGGTTTAAATATAAGCGTTTTAGCGTTTAGCGTATCGGCAGGTATGCCCACAGTGCGTTATGGGTAGTGTAGTCTGAATAACTGTTCAGACTCCCATTTCTACTGTTCAGAACATTGGTCACAGGGAAACTGAAAACAGTTCAAAAGTGACCATGCTCTTTACACAGTACTTGTTGTAAAAGAAGGTTCTAGAAGTAAGCAAGTAGAGCAGGTGAGAGTGGGCATCCTTACTGGGCTGTGGGGGGTGGGGGGAGGCGAGAAGGAGGAGGAGGCCTGTGGCCTTGTTAGTTTGAATCTCAGCCCCCACATGCTGCTGGTGTTTATTTAATTTTATTTCCTAATTCTGTGTTCAGTAGCTAACAGGGTGTGTTGGGTTTTTGTTGGGTTTAATATTTAGAAAACTACTATTCTCTTACTATATATAGACAGGGAGGAATATTGTTTTTGTTATTGATGGCAACCATCAGGACTTAATGGATATCAATGGGCATTTTGTTCAACGTGGCAATGTTTGTGTCATTACTTTGGTATTAATTGTAGTCACAGGTCTCTTTGTATGACTGTGTGACTGGAAGAGTAAAACTCCACATGAACTTTTGAATGATTTGTTACAAATAAAACAAGAACTGACTAACATTAACATAACTGAAAACTACCATTAAACATTGTTTATATTCCAACTTTGTTGTCATATGAAATATAGTCAAATTGTCTAAACCTGGGATTTGTGTTTTCTTATGAACAATTGTGTCCAGTTATTGTTCCAGGTTAAGGTTTCTTTTCCTGTTCTGTGAATGTGGTAGAGAAATGAGCTGTTTATTTCTTCTGTCTTTTCTACATACTACATATTCTTGGACTATTACTATTCACATAGTAAAGATGTTTTATTATTTTATTGAAGTCTGTGTTAAAATACTCTCTTGGGTGCAGTGTTTTATAAGATCATATTTTTGAGATATTAGACCCATGTGTGTTACTACTCATGGTGAAGGAATTTATTATGTATTTTTGAATGTTAGCAGTTAGCAAAGTGAGTTAATGAAAAGAAAAACAAAAAACGACTGCTGGAGCACACTATTACCCTGATATGGAAAATCTCCAGTTGTCACAACGGCTATAAAATAGTGGTTTCTGACCAAATTGTTTCTGTAGCACCCTCCATATGTAACTATTATGATGTTTATATTCGGAACGGACAGTATAAGCTGTAAACTGCATTTCTTTGGCGAAATAGAGAGAAGTTCACCACAAATGATGTGAGAGAGAACAAGCTGGTGAGAAGGACAGCTGATATTAGCAAACAAAGATCTCGTTTTGTCAGTAGGAATTTATTTTTTATTGATTAATGACGAAGTTTGCCAATTTCCAGTATTTAAGTTGTGGGTTGCACATGTGAGTCGTGTTTGTTTGCAGTAGTATGTGGACCGAGAGAGTTGAACATATGAATTTTCTTTGTTGAAGTCTGAAGATCAGATTTTATAAATCCTTAAAGCTACATTTGTATTTTTAATTTTTAGTGAATTTCATCAATTTTCAATCCCGACCTCCATCCTACCTTGCCCATTCATTTTAAGTTTTCTCTTCCATAGTGACACAGGAGGGCAGTGTTGTCCTTTTATTTAGCCTGCAGGCCAAGCGCTCGAAAAATCGTGGTTTTGTTTGAGTATCTGTTTAAAACAGATTTGTTTTGGTTGATGTTTACCGAATAAAACAATTTGATGAAGTTCTGATATACTTTTACAAAAAACCCCAACCAAACAAACAAACAAAATATAAATATAAATAAATAAAAAGTGATACCAAAATGTATATTTTAAATTTAATATAATAATTGTGGTAATTTTACAAGTGTGAAAGTGTTCTTTCCAGAGAATACGTTTATAATGTTTGCTGTTAAGACCGGGAAAGTAGTGATCTTGGCGCTGTTTGTGGAGATGAGAGAGGATGTGATATTGACAAACCTTCAGCTGCTGTGTGACACACAGACAGGAAGTCACTGTCACATGACTAGGATATTGGCAGCTTGTCCGATTTCACCGAGGGCCTCTTATGTTCGCTGCCAGCCAAAACACAGACACTTATTCATATATGCATAAGAACAATGAGTGGAACTGTTTTATTTGCTGTTTCTTTTTGCATTGTTTCACATGGAATGGAGTGGCTTCAATCTGGCTCACAGATTTCTCCCTAATGTGGGCATATGTCGAACAATTATCTGCCTCGCTATCTGTGGAGCTGTCCCATCACACTCACGCCCAATTTCCCAAAACTGTCACAGAGAATAATTGGGGCCATTCTGTCAGGACGTAAATCAGTATCGCTGTTCTAACTAATACACCCCCCACACCCCCACTTATGCTCATCCTCCTCCTCCTTTCTCCAGCACCATGCTCCGCCTTATCCAGTGGAATTGTATGCTCTAGATGGGACACAGTCACCTCCTCTCCTTCCCCCCATCTCTTCTCCTTGTGGCGTATGTATGTGTGTGTAAGTGTGTTCACGGGGGTGTACGCCGTGTGACAGAGGTAGCCTCAGGGCCTGGTTGCTGTTGACAGGGACAAGGGTCTCTGATTTGAGGAGAGCCGTCATACCATCGACTACAGCTGCCTGACTGAGTGACACCTCTCTGTTACTGGGGCAGATGTGTATGTGTTAATGCGTGTGTGTTCACCGTTGATGGCAGAGCCGGTGATGGACTGACTGCTACCTACAATGCTTAGGACAAACAGGAAAACTTTCCCTGATGAGCTGACAGGTCCTCATGTTGAACACCTATAACTGGGCTGCACTTGGTGCTCGGACAAAATGCAGAAGAGCTGAAGTCAAAATGGCAAGAGAATGACAAGACAGACCATGAAGGCTGAGATGATAAAAAAAAAAAAACGGAAGAGAAGGCTAAACAGCAGGCAGCCCTGATGTGACGTGTTTGCGTGCAGCCACATAACTGTGTGTGTAGTTTTTGCATGACTGTGGTTTTCCAGAGTCCAGGCTGTGTAGATCACCATTCCACCTTACCTAATTTCATTAATGTGATCCCCTGTCCATTCCCTGA